CCCCAAACCACCACAGACAAGGACATGCAGTAATAATGTGCCTATACCAGGCAAAAATCAGCCCCAACTGCATCTCTATATATAAGGTAGGCCACACCCACCACTGTCATTCATTTGGTCAGAGAAAGTGTTTGCACCTGATGAAACCTCTTCCCACCTGCGTTAACCCTTGGTATACAGGCCCCACAAATCAGAGTCAGAAAGAAAGCCACAGTAAACTGTGAAATTGGTGTCGGAAACGCACCCATGTGACTGCTCTAATAGCAGACAATAGGGTGCGACTTGGCATACGATTTGCAAGTCGCATGTCATGCAAATCACATGCCAAGTCACACTCAATGTGACCGCTATTACAGCGTTCATATTGGTGTGGTTCAAACTTGGTTGGAGCCGCAACAATTTCTGAAGTAATGAATACGCTACTTTTCATGCGTTTTGCAGAGAGATCTGTCAGATGTCTTGCAAATCGCACTTTAAATTAGCATGTCCCCAGACTTTGAAATCATGTGACTTCACTGTAAGTCTCATGATGTGACTGTAGTGTAAATAACACCACTTAGAAATCTGCTTTAATGTGACCGGGGTAGCCCCCAGTAACATTGTTTGCGATTTGGTATGCAATCGGCATGACAGGCGACTTGCAAATCGTAGACCAAGTTGCACCCTATTGTCCACTGTAGGCTCTGTTCACATCCAATTGGATTGTGAACTCGTGCAACTTCACTGTAAGTTGGGCAATTGCCACATCGGATTAGATGTTACCGTGGTGTTAGCCCCCAGTAACATTGTGTGCAATTTGCCATGCAAATGGAAAGTTGCTGGCCATGCCAATCGCATGACAAGTCGCATCCAGGGTGTACAATTTCAGGTGCGATTTGTGAATTGATATCGGATATAATGAATGCGAGTGTATTAACATACGCCATTTGTTTGTTGAACTTACGATTTCAAAGGTAATTCTTGTCGAACTTTTGGGCCATTTAGTAGCAATTTCACATCTAGACTCCAATAGAAATTACAATGCTAAACACAACTGAAATCACAACTAGTTTGAAAATCTCTAGAAAACACGGTGAAATTGGCAACTTTTTGCAATTTCAACAATTTTCAATTGCATATAGTGTGAACGAAGCAGGTAAAGCAACAAAGGAAATAAATCTTTGAAGGCATGTGGTACCTGCTGGATAGGGGTCTGCTATGCATTTGGGAGAAAAATCCACGCCAGTATTTGTAACAATTTTGATGTGTGGATTCCCCACCCAAGCCCTCTCTCTCTCTCTCTCTCTCTCTCTCTCTCCTCTCCTCTCTCTCTTGTATGTCTCTCTTTATCACTCTTCAGTATGTATCTCTCACTCTTCTGTATGTCTCACTCTTCAGTATGTATCTCTTGCTCACTCTTCTCTCTCTCAGCTCTTTGCTTGACAAATCCTTCACAAAAGGGGGTGGAGTGTAAACCAGCATTATCAAATCTATTAGTAGTCCAGGCCCTTATCTCATCCCATTGTATGACATTCACATTAGGTACAGCTTTGAAGGTGTTTCAACACACAAGGCCTCATTCTAGGGATCATTTAGACAGAAAGCAAAAATGTTGCTAGAACATCTATTTGAAGACAGCCACACATGGAGATCATGCTACTTTCTTGCTGTGGTTGGGATTCAAAACCGACAACCCTAGAGCTGTGAGGCAGCAGTGCTAACCACTAATCCACAGAGCTGCAATGCTAATCTGCCTGTATTTCTGTGCTGTGAATCAACCCTAAGTCCCTGGGCAAGGTCAGTGTAACTAGCCAGATATCTCCAATGTGACACAAATGTTGTGCTATGTTGCCAATTCCGATGTATGTTCTATGTATCCCAATACAAAGGATTGCAATACATGCATACCTTGGTTTACCAACGCCTCAGGGAACGTCATATTTGGTGTACAAATGCCAAACCATTAAAATTAATTGGTCGGTTTACAAATGTTCAAATAATTTGGTTCACAATACGAAGTGTATGTCGGTGCTGATTTTTCAACGCTAACGGCGTGCCTTTTTTTGTCCTTCACTATAGTTCACAAGCTTGGCTGTCACTTTCACCCCGAAGTTACAGAACAATTTCTTCATTTTAATTAACTAAAAGTCAACCTTGTTACCTTTTAAGGAAATAAACTCAAACAAAACTTACTCTTTGAGCCGGGGGAAGTGACAGCTGAATTTCTGAGCCATAGTGAAGACCAAAAAAGCCAGAATTACATTTAAAAACCAGCACCATAATAAAAAAAAAAAAACAGCGTGGGGTCCTCCCTCCCATCCATACCAAGCCATTCGGGTCTCGTATGGATATTAAGGGGTAACTCCACGCCGAAATAAAAAAAAAAACAGCATGGGTTTCCCCCCAAATTTCACACCAGACTCTTTTCCGAGCATGCAGCCCGGCAGGTCAGGAAAGGGGGGGACGAGCAAGCACCCCCCCGATCCATACCAGGCCACATGCCCTGAACATGGGGGGGTGCTTTGGGGCAGGGGGGCTCCCCCCCAAGCACCTTGTCCCCATGTTGATGGGGACAAGGGCCTCTTTCCCACAACCCTGGCCGGTGGTCGTTGGGGTCTGCGGGCGGGGGGCTTATCAGAATCTGGAGGCCCCCCTGCCCCAAAGCACCCCCCCCCATGCTGAGGGCATGTGGCCTGGTATGGTTCAGGAGGGGGGGGGGGGGTTTCCTGATCTGCCGGGCTGCATGCTCGGATAAGGGTCTGGTATGGATTTTTGGGGGAACCCCACACTGTTTTTTTATATTTCGGCGTAGAGTTACCCCTTAAAATACATACCAGACCCAAAGGGTTTGGTATGGATGGGAGGAGGGACCCCACGCAGTTGTGTTTTTTTTTTTTTGTTTTTTTTTATTGCAGACCTTTTATTTTTAGATTCAGCTGTCAAAATAAATATCTAGACCTTCAAAATAAGTAAAATCATTACAGAAATAATTATAAAGGATAAGAAAAGAAAATAGAATCAATAGAACTAAGGAAATCAAATTAAAATACATAAAGATATGCCTAGTGCTGTTTGTTAAACACAGTAGACTCGATTGAGTGCCATCTGTCAGTGGATTCCACACAGAGATTTACTATTGAATAGGGTCTAAAAAGAAAGCGCCCACAGAAGACGTCTAAAATGTGTTCTGCACATGCTCAGTTATATCCGGCCATAGACACTGGAAAAGAGTCTAGTTCTTCACTGTGACAACTTGCTTTTAAAAATTTTTTTTACACGTTTTAAAAATTTTTTGAAATGTCAGATATTGTTTAAAGTGAAGTCCTGATATTTGGCAAAGCAAATTTCAATGTGAACATGTCTCTGCAGTGATTTTTCATGATGTTAGACGTGCTTCTTAGCAACTTTGTGAGCTTCTTAGCACTTGTTGACACTTGCTCTTTAGTAAATGTATTTGAGTCTGATTCTTGGGCTGTGTCTCGTTAGTAAATTCAATTAAAAAAGTGGAGTTCTACTTGTTGACACTTAGACTCTTTAGTAAATGTTACTTTGCAGTCACTATTAAAAAAAGTAGACGTTCACTATTAAAAAGTAGACGTTCACTATTAAAAAGTAGACGTTCACTATTAAAAAAGTAGACGTTCACTATTAAAAAGTAGACGTTCACTATTAAAAAGTAGACGTTCACTATTAAAAAGTAAAAAGACGTTCACTATTAAAAAGTAGACGTTCACTTAAAAAGTAGACGTTCACTATTAAAAAGTAGACGTTCACTATTAAAAAGTAGACGTTCACTAAAAGTAGACGTTCACTATTAAAAGAACGACTTTTTAATAGTTCACTATTAAAAAGTGAACGTCTACTTTTTAATAGTGAAGAGTGAACGTCTACGTGAACGTTCACACTATTAAAAAGTAGACGTTCACTATTAAAAAGTAGACGTTTCACGTTACTATTAAAAAGTAGACGTTCACTATTAAAAAGTAGACGTTCACTATTAAAAAGTAAACGTTCACTATTAAAAAGTAGACGTTCACTATTAAAAAAGACGTTCACTATTAAAAAGTAGACGTTAGCCCACAAAAATGTGTCTAGCCCACAGAAATGGCAGGCACAATAGTAAATTCGGGCCTTTCTGTCTTCATCATTACCCCTGTAGCATGATGTGTAAAATTATATAAATTTAAAGTGACTATAACATAAAATACAATTTGGACATACAGAGTTAACATAGAACATGCTATTATGTAAATATTAACATGATGTCCATCCAAAAAAAATTATAAAAATATATAAAAAAAGAAACAGTCTAAATATACAAAAAATTAAATAAAAATGGAAAAAATAAAAATAAAATTAAAATAAAAAAATCTAAATGAAAATAAAATTAAAAAAATATTGGTTTTCTTTCTACCACGAGACTTTTTTTGTATTCTAATTTCTTTTGGAATATATGGAATATCACTATTTTATGTTTATAGTTGCTTTATATTTATATAATTTTACACATCATGCTACAGGGGTAATGATGAAGACAAAGTGACACACATGAATGTTAGAGTTTATTGATAAATATGGTATAGGGTATGCGCTGCTTGAGGTCACTTAGGGGTGATACTATATTGTTTAGTTTTTGGTTATTAGCAGCAAAAACTTGCCTGTTGTGGTGGTACTTTTAGGAATGGGTAAGGGTGGCTTTACCTGATGAAATTTAGGTCATTAAAGAATATGTAAACCCAGCATTTCATATTCCTGGTATGTGCCTGCTGTACCATGTATGTGTATGAAGCAGTATCTTGTTCCTGTTTATAGCTTGTGTGCCTGCCAGTCCCTCTGCTTTCCTATTAAAAACTGACCACAAATTATATATATATACACACCGTATTTTTCGCTCCATAAGATGCACCTGACCATACGATGCGCCTAGGTTTTAGAGGAGAAAAACAAGAAAAAAAATATTCTGAACCAATGGACTGCAGACATAGTACAGAAGATGACCAGAGACTGTGGACACCGTACAGGAGATGACCAGAGACTGCAGACAGTACAGGGGATGACCAGAGACTGCGGACATAGTACAAGAGATGACCAGAGACTGCGGACATAGTACAGGGGATGACCAGAGACTGCGGACACAGTACAGGAGATCACCAGAGACTGCAGACAGTACAGGGGATGACCAAGAGACTGCAGACAGTACAGGGGATGACCAAGAGACTGCAGACAGTACAGGGGATGACCAAGAGACTGCAGACAGTACAGGGGATGACCAAGAGACTGCAGACAGTACAGGGGATGACCAAGAGACTGCAGACAGTACAGGGGATGACCAAGAGACTGCAGACAGTACAGGGGATGACCAAGAGACTGCAGACAGTACAGGGGATGACCAGAACACTGCAGACAGTACAGGGGATGACCAAAAGACTGTGGACCTTTGGGGAGGAAGGGGGAGTGGGTGCCTGAATTTGACAGGTACCCGCTCCCACTTCCACGGAGTTGTCCTCTCTTTAGTGTGGTCACCCGGCTGTGAGAGCCAGGTGCCCACTGCGCATGCTTGAGAAGCGTTGCGTTTTGTGAATGGTCCGGCGTCTTCTGGGACCTGTTGTGTAAGTAAATGGATACCCAACATGTAAAAAAAATTTGCATGTGCTTATGAAATGACAATGTTTTTAATACCCTATATTTTCAATAGGTGGTGCCTTTAAAGCCCCCTGCAGGTAATCAGTTTAGAGATGAGGAAGTCTGGTGCTAGAATTATTGCGCTCATCCCAGCGTGCGTGGTGATATGTATCTTGTATCACAGTTGACGTTTTCACGCATAGACTCCCCAACATATATGTTATGTGCTTGGGTGTAACTTAGTAATTTTTTACAAATAAAAAAATATACTTTTTTTTTTTTTTTGTAGTGACAGGTTTTCTGCGACATTCAGAGTCTAAAAAAAAGATCCTGCGGGTCTCCCCTGTGCTACATTGAATGTAATACAGTGCAGATTGACCTGCATTATGTTCTTACCCAGCCTTGATGGCCTGGAAGTCTGTCACTGGGGACCCAGAAGTGACGCCATACATGTCGGTTCCAGTTCAGGACAAGAAGGGGAGGAGAGCGGGGTCTATTCTTCTCTCTTCCTTCTACCCACCGACACCCACTATGCCAGTCCCGGGCCTGCAGATGGGCAAGTGGAGTCCAGGATACATAGTGGGGGAAGTTGCACGCATGAGGGGCCGGGGGCTGGCACTTTTGTGTGGTGTGTGGAAGCAATCGGGTGCCAGTGCAGCCGCCTAAATGCTTCCTCCTGACAAGTAAGCCCTGCTGCTTGCTGCATGTCCCAGGCATTGGGCAGTATAAATTGCACATCCCTGAGTTAGGGAACAGACACAAAGAATCGCCATGTAGCTAATGAACGCTCAATAGATTAACGGTTGAGAATACCTCATTATAAACGTTCTCAACCTTGCAGTGAGTCCAACAGACCACATGGATTACTGCAGACTATTTTTCTTCCATTTTGAGACCATGGCATGCAAACAGATGGGCTTGAGCTATGTCTTGTTCCAAGCAATATACTAATATGGTTACCTTCTCTAAGGACAACTCTACAGTATTCTCCTGATTGTTTCCAGGAATATCATTTTTGTAATGAGATTATTTGGCCTTCCCAGTTGAAGACCCGTCCAAATTTGATCAGAGTTTGAATCAGAATTTTGCCAGGAACTAGAAGATGTTGAGCCACCTGCAGGCTATTGTCCAGATAAGGAACTCCTATAGCCCTTGCTCACATAAGATTGCCAGTACTGGAAATAATTTTCTGAAAAATGTTTTGGATATGTGAAAAGGCAAAATGCTGTCGAATGAATTTGAAGTGAAACTCTCGAACATCTAAGTGAAGATACTTACAGCAGCATAGAGGTACAGAAATGTGTATGTAACAAATAAATGAGCGCTACCAACCCTGTGGAAGTCCATTGTTACAAGTGCAGGAACAGTTGAGATCGAAATTCACTTTAATGTTGGGTTAAAAAGCATGACATGTACAGAGGAGAAATACATATTCCCAAAAGCTGAAGGACGACACATGATCCTGGACACAATAGTAGGTTGCTCAGCTCAGGAGCCTCAGGACAGTGAGAAGATGTTTGGATGGCAGCCTCTAAGATCAATAAGATGGGTGCTTCTGCCGGAAGTCACGTGTCCCAAATCATGATTTTATGAGGACCGGCTTCTCTCCTTTGGTTTGACATGGTTTGAGTGTTCCCCTAGGTTGACTGTGCTCACCAGCCCTTGTTCAGGTGGTCTCTTTCCAGGTGCATAACCAAATCTGGGACGCGTGACTTCCTTCGGACTCACCATCGTAGTGATCCCAGTGGCTGCCATCCACTCACCGTCCTGAGGCTCCTGAGCTGAGGGTCAAGGATCATGTGTCCTCCAGCTTCTGGGAATGTGTGTTTCTCCTTTCCACTGTCTTGGTGATGTATCAATCTGGGCATGTCTACCTGTCATGCTTTTTAACCCAACATTAAAGTGAATTTCGAATTTAACTGTTTCTGGGCTTGTGACTCTATTGACTTCCACAGGGTTGGGAGCACTCCTTTGTTTTGTGCTCATGTCTCATTGCTGGTCAGTTGAGTTGTTGGAGCTGCCCATGCTGTGGTTATCTACATATCCCCTGGAACCTCATTGCACTTGGTATTTTCACCTTTTCTTAGAAATGTGTATATATTTATCTGTTAGAAGACAACCTACAGCTGCCTTATCTGATGGCTTGAGTGATTGACAGCAGCGACTCCATTTAAAGTTTTGGACCTTGATCCATCATTCTGCACCACCAATTCGACTTAGAAGTATGTGCAGTCTGTGGATTAAGCCATAAATCACAAAGGAATACTATATATTTCTAGAGGAACAGCATTTTGCATCTATAGTGTATGTACTGGCAACTTAATTTTACTCTGGGGAACAAAGACCAGCGAGACTGCATTGAAGAAGTAAGAGCCTGGCCCCAAAGTAACTTGAAATTAACAGAACTGATTTATTTCTTCAGTAGCCTTGGCTACTGAAGTGATCTCCAATGCAGATTGCAGAACCCTACCTAATGGTATATAAACTTTCTTCGTTTTCGTTGTAATGTTCCAAGGCAAGGATATTGTTTCATCGTTTGGCAGAATAGCAACATCTGGCTAGTCTGATGAAGAAAATTTGGCCAACTGCCTCTGAAGTAAAGGTGGGCTTACAGAGCCTGCTAACAGGAAGACACATCTTTCCAGTCTAATGAAGACTCCTTGGCCAGCTGCTTCTGAGGCAAAGGTACCCTTTAAACAACTTACCTATTTTATTAGCTTAGTACCTGACCATCAGCAATCAGAGATCGCCCAGTCAGTTTAAACAGAGTCAAAAAAATCCACTTTCTTCCCCACTGAAGTCCAGTGAATGTTCATCAATGGAGTCATGATGGAGACACTTGTGCAATCCCTAGAGCCCAGCATCCTGCACCCCAGTACCTGGATATGGGGGAGGCCTCCCTCCTTATAGAAGTTTTACAACCTGAGAGAAGGCTTTGCCACTTATAGGAGAGAGGCTGAACCTGTGCAGATAGGCCAGATGAATCCGGCAAGGCGAGGGTAAAAATTCTGCATTAACCAATAGACGCCCGGCCAATAGCCGTTTGGTGGCCGGAAAAATACATTCGATTTCCGGGTGGACGCCATATGGCGTACTCCCGGGCATGTGCAGATTGCACGCTTGCAGAGCCACGCAGCGGCGTGATCTGTCACCACCCGTGTACCTCGGACATGGCCGATGACAGATCTGAGTACCGGCCCCCGTTGCCGGTACCATGTGACCTGCTGTGACCAATCAGTTGTATACAATGGATGGCTTGATTCATGCCATCCATTGTATACTAGTGTCTAGCTGTGAATGGTCACAGCGATCACATGCACATATCATGTGATTAGCTGTGGCCAAATCGCAGCTAAGCACAAAAAAAAAAAACCCTGAATGAATCAATGTCATTCAGGTAAATGCTTGCTTATAGCAAAGTAATTCTTTGCTATAAGCAAATTGTGTAAAAAAAAAAAAAAAAGATCACTTCCCCAAAGTAGTACAATGTTACTATGGTAACATTGTACTACTTTAGTCATAGTGAAATATGATAAAATCTTTAAAAAAAAAAAAAATTTAAAATTAATAAAAAAAAAAATATTTTTTTTTTTCATACTGTCAGTGTCCCTGATCACCGCCATGCCAGTTATATGACAACGCTGTACTGCACTGGTGACAGTATGTAAAAAAATAATAGTGAAAATAATTTTTTTAATTTTCCGAAAAGTTATGACAAAAAAATACAACTTCAAAAAACTCGCCATGCCTCTTATGCAGTACGTCAGACTGTCTACTTTGCAAACAGTGGTCATTTGGGGGATATCTGTACTGTTCTGACATTCTTGGACCTCAAGAAATTAGATTGGCTGTCAGTACTTCAGGATCAATTTTCAGATCTATACCATAGTTTGTGAACTCTATAACGTTCCTACAAACTAAAAAATACATCCTGATTTGGGTTATTTTCACCAAAGACATGTAGCAGAATACACCTCGGCCTAAATTTATGAAGAACAATTATTTGCAAACTTTTATAACAGAAACAAAGAAAAACCTGTGGTTTTTTTTTTTCAAAATTTTCGGTCTTTTTTTTGTTAATTTAGCAAAAAATAAAAATCCCAGCGATGATTAAATACCACCAAAAGAAAACTCTAGTTGTGTGAAGAAAATTATAAAATTTTAGTTTGGGTACAATGTATGACCGCGCAATTGTCATTCAAAGTGTGAGAGCGCTGAAATCTGAAAAATGGCCTGGGCAGGAAGGGGTAAAAGTGCCCGGTATTGAAACGGTTAAACAGTTCTATATCTGTCTGAGCAGTGAGGGGAAAAAAGAATGCCGCCATTGGGAAGGTTACTCATTTATATGGTATAACCGGTCCTGGGATTGGGTGGGAAGCAGATCCTATACCCATTCGTTTTTTCCTGTCATGTCAGGAAAACTTGTCTGGTCTACCTGTATAACTATAAATGATGGGAAGCGTTTTTAACTTTCTAGAACAGGTCCAGTTGAATGCGACTACTATGTTAGTATGCCCAGGATAATGCTTACCACTGTGGAGACTGCAGACACACTGTACTTCTGTACTTGCCTTTTCATTCAGTAATCCAGCTATAATATACTTGCTTTATTTGCACATGTTTTGCCTCAAAACAAAGTGTTTTTAACACTACTACAATCGCTCACTAATACACGGATTAGGCTTAATAAATATTAAAGCAAAACATGATTTATTGAATAAGTTCTATTAGTAGTATAATAACATAAGAATTGTCAGAATTGCAAATCATATTTAGATCATATTATAGC